TAAGTAGGGGGGTGAAATGACACTGTAAAAAAATTTGGGTCATGAATTTTAAAGTAAAGTAGTGATTTGGTCCAGCTGAAAAATGTTAAAAATTAGCACTTCGGAGGCTGTCAAAAGATTTGAAGACCCCCTTAGCATGAAATTGTCCATATTTTGAGTTAGAGCCGATGAAGTTTTCTATAATTTTGATATAATTTGTCCCAAAAGTAGTACAACACACTGTAAAAATATTATTGAGAAAGCGCAGGTGGGATTTTTTTAATTTTCATTTATTGTCTAAAAGAAATGCACTACGAAATAACTGTGTACTCGGACCTAAGAGGTGAAATCTGGAAATATAGAATCTGTACTTTGGCAACTTCCCTGAATGATTTGATGGTGTCAATTTATCAAATAGCATAAAACTAAAGGATTTAAACTTTTATTTGATAGAATTTCTGCAAAAATGACCAATTTTGGCATTTTATGGTCAAAATAAGCATTTCATAGCTTTTTCAATTTTGATGCATAAGTGGCATTCTGACTTTCTATCTGACAGGTTTTTATGTGTCAATATTTGTGTTTCTATGCTTCAATCCAGTTGTATTACTCATTTGTGAACTCTGAATCTACAGAAAAGAAGATTATCTCAGACAATATGTGCAAAATGTGTTGTATATATGGTCCTCGTCTAACGCCCTGTTTGGATCAAGTTAAATGTGAGGAGCTTGGAACATAAAAGTTGAAGTCCATTATAAAGACCTCACTAAATTTGTATAAAAAGCACTTAACAATGTCTTTTGTGCCTGTTTTATGTCACATAATATCTTTCTTTTCTTCTGTAGGATAGCAAGTGGTTCAAATATAAGCCTGTTGAGACTAAAATTGCATGCATGTTTTTCACTAAAAAGTGAAAAATCTTTGTATCAGACCATACTGTCTGCAAAAAAAGTTGAATGCAAGAGTCTTTTTGTGCTCAGATTTATTGTATCATGTCACCTGAGTATAGAAATGATAGAAAAGACACAAAATTTTATTTCATATAGCATCAATATGCATTTTTAAATGTAAATATGTGATACGGCCTAAATTGACCCTAAATTATTTTCAGTCTTACTTGGCCTAAGACCCTTTTAAACTAATGTGATATGTTATTTGTAAGTTTTCTTTCCATTTAAAGTACATTAAATACATATGTAAGGATTATTTATAACCAAAAAGCTTTACAAATTTAAAATTGCTGGAAAATATTACATCTTCATGTAAGGCCCCCCTTCATTGGAAAACCTCCATTTTTAGCCACAGGCTCATATAAATTTGACTTTTTAATAATTATAATAAGTCTGATAAATCAAATGAGTACTCTATTGCTTTTAATACATAATATATTATATATTAAGGCATTTCAAAAGTATTTTTTTGCAATATTTTAATTTTTTAAGCCCCAAATGTTGATAGTTGAAAATTTTCAATTTTAACGTCTAAATTTAACACTCAAAGTTGAATATAGAATTAGTCATATTGTCTATAATATATATTCTATTGCCATGAAACTTTGTAAGCAGTCTTATAATTTAATAAGCTTTGGTCATACCAAGTTTCATTAAGATTGGTCAACTTTTTCTACCCTATTAGGTCCGGGTACACAGTTATCGTCCTTTGATTTTCGTTGTCCACAAATATAGTCCCTAGTGTGGACAGTGTGTTACTTGTCGATTTTTTTTATACCCCTTCCGAATTTATTTCTCCATGTTTTATGACTCAAATAGTAAGTAGGGGGGTGAAATGACACTGTAAAAAAATTTGGGTCATGAATTTTAAAGTAAAGTAGTGATTTGGTCCAGCTGAAAAATGTTAAAAATTAGCACTTCGGAGGCTGTCAAAAGATTTGAAGACCCCCTTAGCATGAAATTGTCCATATTTTGAGTTAGAGCCGATGAAGTTTTCTATAATTTTGATATAATTTGTCCCAAAAGTAGTACAACACACTGTAAAAATATTATTGAGAAAGCGCAGGTGGGATTTTTTTAATTTTCATTTATTGTCTAAAAGAAATGCACTACGAAATAACTGTGTACTCGGACCTATTGGAACAGTCTAGTTTTCAAAATGTTAATTATAAATATAGTACCAGCTACATGTCTTACTTTTACCTTTGTTATATCTATGTTCATTTCATTTTATTTCCATTACAGAAAAAAGGTGGAACTTTAAAATATTCTATCTTAATGTTATTCATTTCTTTTTCAAAGAAATTAGGACATTGAGTTCCTTTGGTTCTTTTGCTATTTGGTGCTTTATATAAATTAAAATTTAACTTTAATTGTGCTTTGTTTAAGAAAAGTAAGTGATTATCATCTATATATGTTTTAAAGGCAAATGGCAGACGACACGGTACCAAAGACTAGCAGTATAAATTTTGATTAATAGTTCAGAAATTTCTTGTTAAACTGACTTCATTATAAACTTAAATCAAAGTACTAACGTACTGTTAACTCGGATGAACCTAAGAGCTAATGGCTTGCGAATAAATCATGCAGATGTCCATTTCCATGTAGACTAAAAGAAGAAATTGCAGTTGCTTTCTTACATCGAGTGTGAAAAATTTCAGCCACATTTAAGACATTTATAACATTTAATCAATTGGCTAGGTTCCATGGTCACAGAGGATCGAAAGAGATAATGCATTCAATGAATGTTCTCATTTCAATCAGACCTGATTGTGTATAAAACAGTCAAACAGACACCCTTTCCCAATACGCGACTGGAGAAGTTTAAGTGACTATAATTCTATACTCATGTGCCCCTTTCTTGTGTAAACAGTATGCGTTGGTTGTCCCTTTTCCTTAAATTTTCACAGCGTAGACCTTTCATATTTTCAACAGTCTTTTTTGTTCTAGTGTTAGATAGTTCTAATTTTAAAAGCAAGACATCATTTATTTTCTAAATCATGCCATGATCCAACCAATGCATAACATTTTAAATTCATGTATTTTACCCAATGTTTATAATAGTAATTGTTTTATTTATCTTGATGCATTGTTCGAAAGAGGTAAATCACAGATACCTAATATTTAGGTTCTTTATACTAAATCAGTAGTGGATCAGCGAACTATTAAAAAGGGGAAGCGGTTACGTGTAGATTAAGGGAGGAGGAAGGCGCCAAACCTTATATTATACTGTTTTATACATTCAACACTCATAAGACGAAGAAAAATGACAACGTCATGGCAAAAACAAAGACACAGAAAAGAAAAACATGTCCACAAAACACTACATAAAAACTTGAGCAACACGAACCCCACCAGAACCTGGGGGGTGGGGATGGGGGTGTATCATGTGCTCCTGAAGGGTAAGCAGAATTAGCAGATCCTTCTCCACTATTTCTAGGCTTTAAAATCTTAACATCGTTGAGAACTAAATGGAATCTGATGTTCAGTAGTTGTCGTTTGTTGATGTGGTTCATAAGCGTTTCTCGTTTCTCGTTTTTGTCGAGCCTTCGACTTTAGTCGAAAAAGCGAGACATAGCGATCCTACATTCCGTCGGCGTCGGCGTCGGCGTCGTCGTCGGCGGCGGCGTCCACAAATATTCACTCTGTGGTTAAAGTTTTTGAAATTTTAATAACTTTCTTTTAAACTATCCTGGATTTCTACCAAACTTGGACAGAAACTTGTTTATGATCATAAGATAGTATCCAGAAGTAAATTTTGTAAAAATAAAATTCCTGTTTTTCAGTATTTTACTTGTAAATGGACTTAGTTTTTCTGCCGGGAAACATTACATTCACTCTGTGGTTAAAGTTTTTAAAATTTTAATAACTTTCTTAAACTATCCTGGATTTCTACCAAACTTGGACAGAAGCTTGTTTATGATCATAAGATAGTATCTAGAAGTAAATTTGTTAAAAAAGTTTTTTTATTTTTTCCGTATTTTACTTATAAATGGACTTAGTTTTTCTGCCAGGAAACAATACATTCACTCTGTGGTTAAAGTTTTTAAAATTTTAATAACTTTCTTAAACTATCCTGGATTTGTACCAAACTTGGACAGAAGCTTGTTTATGATCAAAAGCTAGTATCTAGAAGGAAATTTTGTTAAAGTTTTGTACCTGTTTATCCGTATTTTACTTATAAATGGACTTAGTTTTTCTTCCAGTTAACATTAAATACAGTCTGCAGTTAAAGTTTTTAAAACATTTATTAGATTCATAAACTATCCTGGATTTATACCAAACTTTGACAGAAGAATTTTTTATATAGATTAGACCGTTGGTTTTCTCGTTTGAATGGTTTTACACTAGTAATTTTTGGGTCCCTTTATAGCTTGCTGTTCGGTGTGAGCCAATGCTCCGTGTTGAAGACCGAACTTTGATCTATAATGGTTTACTTTTATAAATTTTGATTTGGATGGAGAGTTGTCTCATTGGCACTCATACCACATCTTCTTATATCTATTTACATTTCAATACTCGATTAAGATCTTGACATTTATAGCATAGACACCCCTCTTTTTTGAAGACCGTATGTCTATTGCGTGAGTGCATGCGTTTGTACGTGCGGATTCATACTCAAGATTGATTTGACTTTAAAATCAAAGAGGTAGTGCCAATATTCCCCGAACTTATTTCACAATAGGGCCGCGTTTCAAAAGGTATGTCAATCTTTAATCAATGTAATAGTTTCACAACTCCATGTGGGCACTTTGAGAATCTTACAATATTATGGCCAAGTTCTAAATGCCTGAAGATAGCCTTAAACCGCAAGTTTGGCAGAATTTGGCAAATTTTGAGTATTTATCCAAAAATATATACGAAAGGTATCCATAACCTAAATCAAAATTATGTTGGAATTACAGTTATGAATTGCATATTTCATGCTATTTCCTAGAATTAATCAGGAAACAGAATATATACATAAGTTTCAAGTTAAATGATAAGATAATATTTTCAATAAATTTGAAAATCAACACCAATCAACAGTTCACAACTTTTCCTCATAAAAAATATCTCAGTTCAATAAACCTATCTTAAGTGTCATTTATTTAAGTCATAATCACAAACTTCCAATAAAAATTAAAATAACCCTGTGCTATGTAATCATTGAAACAGTTTTTTTTTCATTCAAAGTTCCAATTCTAGATTTTGTTATACAGAGTCTTTCACGACATTGACCAGTTCTGTTTGTAGAGCCATCCTTTCCTGTTGTTTCCTCTCTACATCTTCGGTCGATTTGGTTATAAGCTGGGTAATATCTGATGTTGAAAATCGAACTGAAATTAAAAAAAAAGAATCAAATGGTATGACCATGCACATAAAAGTCACCTGCTTTTATACGGCTGTTATGAAATTTCCCAATAAATTTATGTTCAAAGCTTACATTGTCACCTAACATACAGTATGTACATTCAAACATGGAAGATAGTTAACATTTTCTCGTACATGTAAGACTGGTAGTGTAATAGGCAAGAGGTATGTACAATATAGTGATGAATTAACTAATTAACTAGCTATTTTTTTTCAAAGTATGATTTCAATCAATTTTCTCAATGAAATTTGATACAACTATTAAAGCAGAGAATAAGATATTTAGCCAGCCTGCATGCATGAATATATTATGCCAAAAACAAATTAATCAGAAGAACTTGATAGAAGGCATCCTAAAACCACCTGTTGTATGATTTGATTGATAGTTGTTGTTGAACAGTGATACACCCATTTGAAGATTTGATAATGGCACTTAATTTTGAATGCTTATTTATAGGTTTTGTATATACATTCTTCTGAAACTAGAAAAGGGCTTCATAATAAACTGTATGAAACTGCTACAATTTCTTTAGTTGCTTCATATGTTAAATAAAATATTTACAAATTATCTTTAACTAGCGAAAAAAAACATTACCCGCATTCAAAATCCATTTTTGCAGCTGGATGCAATTTAAACTCCCATGTTTTACGGCACCATATAAAGTATCTTGGTGTTGGTTCAGGGAATGTATAGTTGTATGCAAGTTCTGTGAAGTACCATTCGTTTTTTTAATTGCCTTCCTGAAGACGTTCCCTAAATCCCATTATGGCAGGAAGTCGTGTACAAGCAGTGGTGAAGTCCTAACCATAAATATTTGGCATCTGGGTCATAGAATTTTAACGCATCTGCAATAGATAATAATTAAAACACAAAGTTTATTTTAAGCATGATTAGGACACATTTGAAACAATTTTGTAAGCTTTTTTTAATTTATGAGACTACGGTTCAGACCATATAATGCAGGTTCATGTTTGACATGTTTTACTGATGCCTGGATAATACGGTATTGTATACATTCATTGATTGTTGTTTGCATAATACAGTGGCAAATATTTCATGCATTTTCAGGACGATATTTTAGAAACAAATGCAAAAAAATTGTGCAAAGTCTTCAGATAAATTGAATGCTAGTTAGTACCTTTTCATTCTTCTTTGACCACTTTTTTTATGATTCATCATCTGAATTAAGATTGATTGTTGTTCCTGGATGATCTGCTTCTAAAAATAGATGCATAGTTCACTGTGTGTTCTAGCTCACAAATCTGATTTTTATTGTTTGTCTTTTGTTTGCCCATAATTTACGATGAATAAGGAAGTACCCAAAATTATTTCTTATTTGATAAATCCATGTATAAATGCAAAAATATGTTAATTTGTATTTGCATACATATATAACACTCATGTATGTTTGACGTCACATCTTAATATCTTTAACTTTGCAAAGTTTGTCTGTATTAATGTTTGTATTTAATCTATACACACTTTTGTAGACTTGGGACCATTTAAGCTTTACATATTAAATGAATACCTTGTTCAAGACTGTTTCTTGCCCACTACGTGTCTTTTGGTTGTTTTTGTAGGTGGGTTACTGTCTGATTGAAGTATACCATCCTATATTCATTTAAAAATAATTTTAGTCCTGTTTTAGGGTTGTTTAAGAGAGAAAATGGTTGAGGATTCATATTTTTTTGTTATTAAAGGGGAGGTAATTTATTCAACGTCTCGATTAAAAATGCACAGCTTAAAAGTAAATAGTGAGTTACCTGTACTCGGAGGTTTCTCTTGGTGTCATAGATGTGCCTGAAGTGTTTGACTCGGGTGTCAAAAATGTGCCTGAAATGCTTCCTTAGTGCTTGACGTGTATGACTGGTGTCAAAGATGTGCCTGAAGTTTTAGATTGTTGTGTCCGTGGTGTACCTGAAATAATTGGTTCTGCTGTCCACGATGGGACTGTAGAAATTGACACTGGTATCAAAGATGTGCCTGAAGTGCTGGAGGATAGACATTTTGGTAGTGGCTTTGAAAATTGACTACTAGTGTCTTATTGTTCCTTCCATTTGCCATGTTTATCCTGCTGAATGATCTTGTTTAACAAGGTTGTGTCTGTTGAGAAAAAAAACTTGTATACATAGCAAAGGTTGTAAGTGTTTAAATAAAATGTAAGATCACCCTTTTTAAAGTTTATTGTAGCACTTTTATGACCTAGCATATAATATAATAACGAAAGTTTATACTGCAAGTTGAAGAACTAATATTTCATTTGACTGCAGTAGTAGGTGAACATATAAATAATATATATAAAAAAAAACCAACAACAAATGATATTAGAATTTCTTTGGATGCAGTGGTTTTGTTTTGTATTTGTGATTATGATATGCATATTATACTGTGTAGCAAATTATTTTAATTTTTTGGCGTTGTCAATTATATATCTTCATAAATGCTTAAAAACCTTTGGCATGGATCTTTTTGGCTATTTCATTGTCTGCAAAGACAGTGATTGTTTCTATATATATATATATATATATCTTTATTTCTCAACAAACCAAATTACAATTGGTATAGAGATACACAACAATAAATGTTACATAATGTATATGTACATATATACAAACGTTATATGGAAGCAAAGACGGTGATTGTTTCTCCATCAACAATTAATTCAACTTCTTCTTTTCCTTCTCAAAAAATAAAGAATCTTGTACTGTAAATTTATTTCTCTTTAATTTGAGCTATGAAAAAGCACCCTAATTAATTAATCAATTAATATTAATTGACTTGTACTGATGCTCAATGTCGTCAATAATGCGGAAGGAGATACCGGGAGTATTTTTAGCGTATTATGAGTAGAGAAAAGATGAAGAACTATTTGCTTTTACACCTTATCCCTATTTGTCCGCTATAACTAGACATCACAGACGTTCCCGTAAAAAGTGTGACGTCACTAGATAAAACTTCTGTCGCCAAATAGGAAAATTGTTTTGGAACGACGTAACTACTTCGAGTATTGCACACAAATAACTATAAGAGATCTATCACAGCTTATTAAAAAATCAGGTATCACAGGCACACCGACGAAGGAAAATCAAGTTCTAGCATACATAATTTGCTATTAATAATCCATGCTTGCTTAACTCTTTAAATTATTGATCGCTTCAAATTCATTTGATTTGGAGTCAAATTTTAAATCATTGCATTTCTTTTCGGTCCTATGTTTAACATAACGGTTTTCAATATTTAAATTAGATAAGGTAATACCCATTGAATTCCTTTCTGCACGGACGATCTCGGCGGTCAGTATATAAAGAAAATTTAAGGCGCTTGACTAATGGCAATGCAACGTTCGTTACAAGATAGTTACGACACAGAAGTTAGTTTTGGTACACTATTTCCCACCCATCAACCCCAAATAACCTTTTATATATTAACTTCTCAGTTCGTATCGACTTGTTACGATGAATTTTGATGCATTTATGTATGTCTGATTGTAGATATGTTAAATATGTTATATTAAATGCGATCATGTAGCGAACGCACAACCCTATATACTGTGTTTGGTTTTTTCTACGATATTTAGTTAAGAAAAATTTTATTTTCGGTGGAGTGAAACGATTGAGAAAAATAACTATATTTGTTTAAAACTTTCAAATTGAAAATAACTTTTAACAATATTTTAATCAGAGTCGAAATAAAACTTTTAATTTATGTTAGAAATATTGAACTTGTAAACTTTTTTTGCAAATGTCTATTGTCTGCCACAAACATCAGAAGAACTAATAAAAAAAAGTATATCAGTAAAGAGGAGAGTAATAGTTAAAGCGACATTGTGTTAATGTTAAACTTTTAAGAGATGCTACCCAAGGGGATACACAATGAGGATACCCACTGACGTCATCATTAAGTATTTATGAGACTAATCAATTAATTTCTTGGAGGATAACCTCATCATAAAGTGTTTTATTGATTACGGCTTATCAATTGGCGTTATTGATTAATGATGTACAGATGTTTATCATATTATTTTTTTTGTATGGGTTAAAGGTGTAGGTGAACGAATATTAAAGGAAAGAAAAGATATGGGGTATCCAAAAAATTAGTGCATGCACAGCTAAAACACAAAAGGCAAAGGAACAGTGCTTTTATTTCTATTCTTCATCTCAAAGTTACAGTGAGGCCTTCAGCACGGATCAAAAACTCTCCCCTCATTGCAAGTTTCAGACGGCGCCTTGCACCGGTTTGAGCGAAAATCTTTGCAAACTGACGACCACACCACAACTACATAGTGTATGATTATGCAAATGTGACCACGGAGTTATCTAGTGTGATTTATTGATCAACATTCCAGTGGAGGAGACAACTTCAAATTTTCGAGAACATTAAATTGAAATATGTTACCCCCTCTTTTTGTATGCAATAACGTTCAAGTCACTTTCACTGAAGGACCCAGATTACAAGATTAGGCAGTTCTGCTTGTAACAATTGTGTAGAGTTGCGAGCATCCAGGACCACCGCCCTAATCTTCCACAACGGAGTTGATCTTACGGTGTCGGTGACTGAAACGTCTCAGGGAAGCTCTGGTTGACCTCCATATGAGAAATATTCCCCCTTTTAATCTCATATAGTCGAGCATGCGCACGCCGTCGATCCCAGAGCCGATGCAAATAATTACCAAACATAACATTTATTATTTGATTATAACTCATATAATTAAGAAACATAATACTGTAAATTTTTCATGTCACATCTTATTATTGTAATGCGGCGTTCCATACATTTAAATCGCATACAATCTGGCGCGATTCACCTTAGGACTGACGAATCCCTATTACTACTAGGGCGTGTTTAACGACCTTGACTACATGTACCTTTAATTTTCGTCGCTTCTATATTTTCATAAAATATGGAAAATCCCTAATCAAATATCTGATTTTGGTAGTTTCGAATCCGGCAATTTTAACACGATCTTTTAATCACCCCCTGTTTTGGTGGGGTTCGTGTTGTTAAGTCTTTGGTTTTCTATGATGTGTTTTGTATACTGTTGTTTGTATTTTCGTCGTTTTTCGTTTTTCTGCCATGCCATTGTCACTTTGTTTTCGACTTATGAGTTTGAATATCCCTTTGGTATTTTTAGCCTCTCTTTTACGATGAGTTTATCCTCCAAAGCAATTAGTTGATTGATTAAAATTAAGATTAATTAGCCACATAATATCTAATGATGACGTCACATGGTTGACGCGACCTAACGCAAGAAAAATTATGGTCAGGAATTTTGACAGGTTTATTATCTCCCGTTATTTCCCCCTAGCAGTAGTTGGCGTCTCTAGATCATTGTGAGAATTTGCTCTACTATAAAAATAAGGAGATGTGGTATGATTGCCAATCAGACAACTATCCACCCAAGTTCAAATGAAGTGGATGTAAGCAAGGCAACTGTACGGCCTTCAACAATGAGCGGAAAAACCCATACCGTATAGTCGGCTATAAAAGGCCCCGGCATGAAAAATATGAAACAATTCAATTGAGAAAACTAACGGCATAATTTATAACAAAACAATCTAAGAAAAACAAATATGACAGACATGAACAAACGACAACCTCTTAACTACAGGCTCCTGACTTTGCCAGTCACATCAAAAAATGTGAGCGCTCAACCCTCCCCTAACTTTGGACAGCGGTGTAACAGGACAGCATAAGAACAAACTGTAACAAGAGTGCACACGCTGAAATGTCTCGCCTTCTTTACTAATCATTGATATTATGTTGATAGTCCTAAATATAAAGCTTTATTACAACTGTCACATAAACTTAACATTAACCAAGTAAACTAAACATTGACCAATGAACCATGAAAATGAGGTCAAGGTCAGATGAACCATGCTAGGCAGGCATGTACAGCTAACAATTCTTCCATACAACAAATATAGTTGACCTATTGCTTATAGTTTAAGAAAAACAGACGAAAACACAAAAACTTAACACTGAGCAATGAACCTTGAAAATGAGGTCAAGGTCAAATAAAACCTGCGTGACTGACATATAGATCATAAAATATTTCCATACACCAAATATAGTTGATCTATTGCATATAGTATTAGAAAAAAAGACCAAAACTCAAAAATTTAACTTTGACCACTGAACCATGAAAATGAGGTCAAGGTAAGATGACACCTGCCAGCTAGACATGTACACCTTACAATCATTCCATACACCAAAT